CCCCCCCCCTTCCCCTTTAATTAAAGACCGGTCCCTAAGACAATAACAACTATTGAAATAGTACATCACAGTCTTAAAGTACTAATTTGAAAACAGTGTATCATCAATAGAAAGGGCACTTCATGTTTGGTATAGTAACAACTCACGTTGGTCTTTACATTCATTTTTGTAAGAACATCCCGAGTCTGATTCTTTTACTGCAGTGGTAGCTTCGTTCTCATCATCATTTTCACGTTGAGCAACGTCTGAGGTATTTAATGTTTGAACTGTATCTGAACGTGAAGATTAAAAATACAGTTAAATACAAGATTCGTCGAGTACAGCTTCCCATAGATATCAGGTATAAAAACTTTACTTAAATGGAATAGTTGCATACTTTACTTTAAAGGGATAACGCTAATTACAATAAGGTATTTCCTTCCAATAAACGCTTTAGGCATTTATTACATTTCGTACTTTTACGGGAGGGAGCGTTTATAGAGAATGCGAGAATTAATAGCCTTACATACGACAGTAAAAACTTGCGAAAACACAACTTCTCTCATATAGCTTGCACTCCACTACTCATGAACCCCAACGATAATAATTCAACCAGCGTATACTTTAATAAATGATTTCGCTTGTTGGGAGAGAGCGTTTATCAGAATTTTTTCACCAAGTTTCCATACACAAGGCCCTTAAATATTTTGGAAAAGTCAACAAATTTTAGACCAATCGTTTAGCAGATATGAACTTTTAAAATCAGTGCGGGAAGTTTCCACCCCCCTCTCCACTCCCCAGTCTGGACAGGATTGAATGAGGTAAAGAAAGCAGCGGTACAATAAGCTTACCGATATTTTCTGGAGATCTATCTTCTCGAACTTCTCCAATACGCAACGCTTCTTGAGAGCATCGTAAAGCCTTTTGAGGCTGTTTGTTCAACGTATAAGCATCTCTCAAGCAAAGTAATGCCTCTTGTTTTCGTTGTGTATATTTTCGTCGTTTGGCAATCTTCAAGCTTTTCTTACAGTATTTAATTGCATTTCCCCCCATTTTTTTCGATATATTAACTTGCGCCAAGACCAGTAATGCACTAATTTCCTGTTGTTTATCTTCTTGCTCCTTTGAAATTTCCAAAGCTTCCTCAAGGTATTTAATTGCTATTGGAAACTCACACTTCCCTCTGTAAACACGTCCTAACCCAATTAATGCCATTGTCTCCAATTGTTTATACTCATGTGTTTTTGCCAGTTCCAATGCTTCCCCCAGGTATTTAACTGCCGTTTCAAAATCACTGTTCGCTCTGTAAGCATCTCCTAACCCAAGTAATGCCTCTGTTTTTTGGTATTTGTCTCCATATTTTTTTGCAATTTCCACAGCATTGTCAAAGTATCCAATTGCCTTTTCAAACTCATTTTTCACTCTATGACCACGTGCTAAGCCCACTAATGCTCTTATTTCCTGTTGTTTATCATTATCCTTCATTGCCACTTCCAACCCTTCCTCTAACTTTTCCACTGCCGTTCGAACCTGATTGTTGCTTCTATTAGCATCTCCTAACCCAAGCAACGCCCTTGTTTTTAGTTGTCTATATTCATTCTCATTTGCAATTTCCAAACCTTTCTTAGTATCTTGAATTGCCTTTTGAAACTGATTGGTTCCTCTATAAACATCTCCTAACCCAAGTAATGCCTCTGTTTCTTGGTATTTATTTCCATGCTTTTGGGCAATTTCCAAGGCTTTGTTAAAGTCTTTAATTGCTTTTTGAAACTTAAATGTGCCTCTATAAGCATCTCCTAACCCAAGTAATGCCTCGGTTTCTTGGTATTTATTTTCATGCTTTCTGGCAATTTTCAAGGCTTTCTTAAAGTATTCGATTGCTGTTGGAAACTGTTTTTTGCCTCTGTAAGCATCTCTCCCAACCAAACTAATGCCTTTGTTTCAAGTTGTTTATATTCGTTATCCTTTGCGAGTTTCAATGCTTTCTGGAAGTTTTCGATTGCAGCTTCAAACTGATTGTTCGTTGCGTAAGCAAATCCTTTGTCAAGTAATGCATATGTTTCTTTCGATGTATCTCCACGTTCTTTTGCAATTTTTATGGCGTTGTCAGAGTATTTAATCGCTATTTCAAATTGATCGTCGGATCTAAGATCATCTCCTTTATCTACTTGTTCTTTTTCGTGTTTTGAATCTGATTGCTCCATTCTTATGAACGACTCCTTGCCCGATTGAATTTATTCTTCAGTTCAATCACGTTTTCAACTTTCTTCTGCTATTTAGACATGGTTCGATTATTGATGGAACAAATATGACATTGTACGCTTTAATTTTATGTTCACCTTTTTGTTCCAAATAATAAAATTTCGGGGAAAATTTTGTTCTTTGTTCTTTTCTAAATGGTTAATATTATTATATGAAAGTGCGACCTTTCACCGTGTTTTCGTCTTTCTAAAAAAGATAACGCAATAAAATATATAAGCCAACAGCAGCTTCTTCAATCCTAATTTTGTTCAGAACTACAATCCTGATCAAAACTTCTGCGACATTTTTAATTAAATATCATGAATAAACCCAGATTTGGAATATCGCTAACGATAAAGTTTGAAGCTTTATTTAGGGAACTGTTTATTTTGATCAAAACAGGTTTGTCGAAGAATGGTTATACAATAAACCCCGAATCAAGGTGTTTTTTTTATAAATTGACTCCTTCACCTGAAACTCATCCCTAGCCTAGATAGTCTTATATTAAGAAGGCTCCCTACAGTACTAGGCCGTTTGCTATGACCTTATCCTGGTCGCCAGAGGTTCTCGTATCTTTCGCCCTATTCTCGCTCGTATTTATTTCGTGAAATAAATACGAGCGAGAATAGGTCTGGGCTAAAGATACGAGAAACTCTAACAACAAGTGACCTCGAAATGTGCCTAGAAAATGTCATTTCCCATGTCTTGGAATTAAATATTATTACGGGAACTAACACTTTCGAACACGCTGAGTTCAAAATCCAAAACGTTCCCGCCCCGTAGACCCGAAGCATTCTCACAAACTTCTATTATATCTTCACTAATTTCACGACAAATTTATTCATTGTTCAACGACATGGATCGATGACGACAAGCGATTATGTCACTCAAAAGAACCAATTTCTCTTAACCAGTCTTCCCGTTTCACTCGAATCATTTTGAGAAATGTAATCTTATGCGTGTTGGACGTAAACAACATATCTTGTCTACAACTTTGAGAAGGTACAGATAACGCTTTCTCAGTTCTGGCTCTATCTCTATAAAATCATAAGAATGTGCTATGGGCTATGTCTCTGGGCTGAGAAAAATTCCTTACATGCGATCAAAATGTTTTATACACCGATTTAAAACGGTAATTTTGGCAATAGGTCAGGATTTAAATTTCCAAAACAGTTTTTGAGACAAGTTCTTTGAATGTTTGCATGGCGATAAAATATAATTGTTTTTGTTTGTGGAAACACCACGTAAATTTATGAATTAGAACATTTAAGAAATTTATTAGCACTGATGAAGATCCGGGCTTACGGATCGAAAGCTTTGCAGTAATAAATTTACGTGGTGTTTCCACAAACAAAAACAATTATAGTTTTTGAGACGTAATTAAAGAGGTAACTTATCATTGCATTTGAACTATTACATCAATTGGTGTTATTCTGTGCGATTAGCGAATATTATTGGAAAGAGGGCTTCCATATACGCTGAAATACCAAATAAACAGCTCAGGCACACATTTCTCCACTTCGTCGTAAGTTTACAGAGCAGATTTTGTAATTTGGCACTGATCTTTGTCCTTGATGTAAACATTTATTATTCTAGTTTAAGTTTAAGATTGATCCTGTCGTAAGTCTTCTACCAGCAACCCATCGACAATTTTTAATTTTAGCGTTGTCTTTGTCGTTCCGTTGGCTTCGCGTTACTTTTGTTTTAAACACCTTCGTCGCGTTAAAAGAGTTATTTTTCGGGCCAGTGACATAGCCAAAAGACTTAGCATTAACGTCCTTGTGATATCGCTAAAACTGAGGATTCTTGAGATATTGCTAGGACTGAGGAATTTAGAAAGCGTTATCTGACAAGATATGTCATTCAAATGATAATAGCAAAACGGTCTTTTGTTAAAAGGAAGACTGGTTAAATAGAAATTGGTCCTTTTGAGTGACATAATGTAGGGCCTTTTTTAAGGTTTTTCCCATGGAGGGGGGGGGGATTTTTGAAAAGGGATCGTGAGATAATATATTAGGGCGGGATAGCAATTGCTGAAGGCCACGTGTGTGGCCGAC